CCCATCCGGTCCCATAGACTTGTGAGCATGTGTGAGTGAAGGAGTGAAGGTGAGCCTGGGAAAGGGAGGAAGAAAGAAGTTACTTTAATGTTTGTCTTTTTGTTCCCATTACCTGAATCTGTAATTAGATACTTATTTTAATTGGCAATAAATTTAGTTAATTTTCCCCAAGTCAAGTCAGTTTTGCCCGTGATGGTAATTCTTACTCAATCTCCCTGTCTTTATCTCAACCCATCAGCTTTTCTGTTCCTGTTCTACCTATTTTCTGCCCCCATCCCATGTGGAGTGGGGGGACTGGGTGGGAGTTTGGCTGTGAGCCAAGGCTAACCCACCACACTTCTCTTTTGGGGACTTAATATATTCAGTGCAAGTACACTAATCTGTATCAGATAGTAATCTGGCTTGTTGAATTTCAATGATTTTTACCTACTTGAAAATAGATCAGTTAATCTTACTTTAAAAAAAATCTGTTCTTCAAGAAGTCATCTCACATGCAAAAAAAATACTGTAATAATAAAACCACTGGCACTATTTATTTACAGGGCGAAAGCTGGATCATGCTTGGGAGGACTGATCTCAAATAAATGTCACTTAACAATAGCATGATTTAGAGCACAACTTCTTGATGTACAAAATTACGCTTTTGCCTGATGCATAAACTCTGTTCTTTAACTGTGCAATTAGAATAACCTAAAACCAAATTGACTCTTGGGCAATAGAACATGAGTTTAGTAGGTATATGGAAGAATGAAGTTTTTGTCGTTCTGTTTTCTCCTATCATGTCTCATCCCTCAGTGTGGAACACAACTATATAAGTAAAATTTCGTCTTGATTCTAGATTTCATTTAAATGCATCTTTTTACATTATTTTCCAAATCTGCTCTACCCTATTACTACTTCCTATTGCATATTTATCTTTGTAGGATTTAGACCTTTTTAGCTTTATAGGATTTATCCCTTTTAGACATTCTTCCAAATTAAATTTTGATATTTCTTTCGCAGAATCCCAGGAACTTTGAAAATGGTAAAAGTTTGGTTAGTAAGAGCTGCAACAGAAAGCATGCCTCAACAAATAAATTGTTTCCAAAGGGACAATGTGTTGAAGCTTTGGGTGGTTCTTTCCATTTAGCTGCTGCTTTTCCATATTGTCTTCTCTTTCCTTAATCTTGTAACAGGAGAACATTACTAGTGAGTTAAACTTTTGTTTCTGTTTTCCGTTTATCAATGATAGCAAACTTGGTTAAACATCAAGTGTACTTTAAACCTCCAATTTGTTAATCACTGCCTACGGGACTTCTCTTGATTAAACTGCTGGTCATTGTCAGTTTGTATTTTTGTAATACAGAGGAAATTATTGGGAAACAAGGTAGAAGAAGTATATTTTGCTTGTGAAGAATCATCTGGGTCATTGTTTCTGGGATTGAGGACTAAACTTTTGAAATAAGTTAACTACCTTGTCATGTCAAGCTTCTACGAGTGTAGTTAAAAAAATAAAAAATATTTCACAGAATTGTCAAAAATATTATTTTGCTGAATGTAAGAAATGCCGTGCTCTACTGAAGAAAAATAAACCTCATTTAAATCAATGTAGATGCTGTATATTCTGTTTTCAGGCCCAAGTTCTTTAGGTAACATTGTAGAAGATGTTACACATCCATGTAATCCGAATCCATGTGCAGCTAATCAGTTATGTGAAGTAAATAGAAAAGGATGTCAGTCTGGAGAACTGTGTCTTCCATATTTGTGTGTGCCAGGTAAGGGTTTTCGGACTTCTGTTCACCTGAATTTTGCTGATAAACATATGTTACTGAAATTTTGTTGAAAGTTTTGAAGTTAATTCCCGAAAGAAATATTACCACAATTATCTTGTGTTTTCAAAAGCTGTAGCCTACCTTCTAGCTCTTTTCATTTCTTAGTGTGTTTCTATTTTTATTGTCCATTGAAACATAATGTCTTATTAGAAGATACATTACTTATTTTGCTTCAGAAGAAATAAATGTCCATACATGATCTCTAAGCAGCCTGCCTGCTATTTAAAATTGCAAGCATGCAATACTGCAAATTCGGTGCAGCTCACTGCTTCTGCAGACACCATGACATGTATTGCCCTCTATTTCCATACATTATTAGCCATATCTGCATTATTTTCCTTACTGGTGAAATAAATAGACATTATGTCTTGACTTGAAATTAATGAAAATCAAGCTGTCAGTCTTGGGAGAACATTTTGAGAGCACTGAGAATCTGATGAAATGCAGGGTGCCCTGGGATGTACATTTGCATTGGCAGCAATTCTGGTGTTACATTAAAGTTCAAGATGGTATCTTACATGGAATTGTCGCAAATCCTTCTTCATAGGCCAGGACAACTTCTCAAAATCTCTCCAGCAGCTCATGGGTAACTAGTTCCGGTCTGAGTAAATTAATACCCAAACTTTTTCTTAAGAGCTTCACTGTTGCTGCTTCACTGGATTCATAGTGCCTAGGCTTAGGGCTTGGGAAGGAAGTGACATGGCCCATAATTTATTTGCCTCTCCTTTCTTCTCTCTACTACTTGAGCTTGCAGCACTGATGCAGCATCTCTGCACTTCATCTTTAATGACTGACAACGCTATGAGTTCATTGACCGAAGAAAAAGGCAGAACCGCAAGGCAGATTAGCTCTGTGTCTCTCCCAAATCTGTATGTAGACTTGTAATTTGTAAGAAGAAGACACTGACTTTGGGAAACAACAAAAATACAAATAATGGATCTTGTGCTGCCTTGTCCTTCCACAAGACCCACAGTACTGCTTCCCATTAAAGATGGTGTCTGGAGATGCAGCAGTACACAGCTGACTGCATTTCTGCTGCTGCTCCATTGAATGATACTTTTAATGTAGGTGCACCTCACTAGAAAGGCATTCGTGGTCATTTGGGAACTACTTTTTTAGAACATAGCTGTCGTCTAACTTCTAAATATGAGCTGGTTGGGGAGAGAGCCTTATAGAATGAGTTTCAGCTATCTAACTTTCAAATTGCAGTCTTGGGTGGTGTTGATAACAAGGGTCATATCTACAAAAGGAGGTGGGAGACTGCACTATGTCCAACTTCTACAGCTCCTTCATTTTTCTACCTTAGACACCAGTAGTGCTTGCCACAATTTTTCCCCTTCTTTTAAAGCAAAAGGTATCATTCAGTGACATGAGGAATCACCTATGGTTCTTGAAGCAAAGAGGAAAGCTTGCATTTAATGACTGCTTGAACGCATGTGTTGAGAGAGACTGAGTGAGTGAGAGCGACACTGTTTTTTAAACGGAATTGCATGAAGCAGCCTCCTTTCTAGGGAACATTGCCATAACTGTCTCAGTTCCCTGCATCAGTTCCCTGAGCCTCTTCTGTTCCAGCAGTTTTGTGGCTGATCAGCAGTTTCTCCACTGATTTTTAATTACAAAGAGGAAAACTGGGTTTTGCTTCACTCGTACATCTGCCACACTTGTGCTCTTCTAAAAGTGAGGATAGACCTCAGCTCGTTCTTTTTGTGAGCCTAGGGACATTGTTTTGGTTATGTTTCTATGACCTTTACAAAATATTTCGTTTTTCGGAAAAGCTGAGCATTATTACTATAGAGGTTGTATTGTCCTCACTTGCTGCGAAAGTCATTCAAAGTGATCTGAAAACAAGCTCACCCAGAGTTTTTGAAGAGACAGTTTGCTTCCTCTAAGGGTTGGAAGTTGACTTTTATGTTTGAATTCAGTCTTTTTATTGGTTAAAAGTTTCGGGGGATTTGTTGCAGTTCATCACTTGTAGGGTAATTTTAATCTACTATTTCTTTTATTATTGTTTCCTTGCAATTTTTAAAACCATTTTTCTTCTTCTCCCTTCTTTTTTTTTTTAAATCCAGTTTTCCTGCTTTTTCTCCCTTTCTTTTCATGTCTACCTATAAGAGTCATTCAGTGTTCACATAAGAGGTACAAGTAGGGAAGGAAGACGCGATAAATTATGTGAGAGAGGGGAAATGACGGCTTTGCTTGTGAGACTCTCTAATTCAGTTTGTGTATTGGAGAGAGTGAATCATATGTGGTATTTGTTATATCACATACGTTTCATACTACTACAGAACTGTGGAAAATGAGGTTGCCTGAGAATTGTTGGAATTACCAGGCTTTTTCTCTGAAGTGACATTTCAACAGATACTTCAGAACATTGTCTCAAGCAAATATCTTCTATTTCTGCTACTTGCTGCCTCTATGAAATGAGTGAATTTGTCTAAAGGGTGAGAGCAAGGCTGCTGTAGGAACACCTTAGCTTTTTCACAAGTCCAAGAGTAGTAGTTATTTTTGGTAGTGGCACTTGCCAAAGTATTTACTAAATATGAGCTAAAATTTTTCCTTCTATATAGGTTGCAAACTGGGAGAAGCCTCAGATTTTATTGTCCGTCAAGGTACACTTATTCAGGTTCCATCCTCAGCTGGTGATGTTGGTTGTTACAAGATTTGTACCTGTGGACACAGTGGATTGCTAGAAAACTGCATGGAAATGCGTTGTGTTGACCTCCAAAAATCATGCATTGTTGGAGGACAAAGGAAAAGTAAGTATTAGAACAGTAATTATATCTCTATACAGCACCTGTTCCTTACATAATGAATTTTGAGGTACATATGAAGACCCAGAGGATCTAAATGCAGAGTTTATCAGAAAATATAAAAGTTAATGTTTGCATCCCTATATATACTACTTGTTTAATTCTTATATATGCTGGAGGGTTCCATTATTTAAATCAATACTGAACTGTGTCTGTCTCAACCAATGAAAGTCCTGTGTGAAGCTTGTTCTTAGTACACCATTTTTCAACCAAAAGGTCACTGACTTGCCTCACATCCCCTGTATTTTATGGTACTTGATAATAGGTAGCTTGCTTTCTGGTAGAAGAACTTGCTGGTGGGAGCTCTGAGGATTGAGGAGGGAAAACGTTCTGAGAGGAGCCAGTAGGCAGTAGGGATGAAGCAACAACAGCGAAACAAATTGATCTGTTTTAAGCATGCTGTAGTTCTGAGGTTTAAGCACAGTATAACTTACTAAATGGCTGCCCATTTCCTGGATTCCAACTTTGCAGGTACTCTGAGTCTATTTTTAACAGCATTGGATATCCAGTGACCAATAGAAGTGTCTGGGGAAGAGTGTGAGAAAAGGCAGAGGATTTAATCGTACTTTCCATGAATATTCTACCAGAATCTGTTCTGTGCTTCAGACCACAGACCCCTTGATCAGGGGGTGGTTTCTTTACTAGCCCCAAATGGTTTGGGGGTTTTTAGTTTTCATCGGTTTGTTTTGTTTTTTTTTTTACTTCCATGGATATTAAATATGGGTTAAAAAAAAATCAAATACTTTTATCATGAGCTATAACCTCTGGCAAGAAGTTCCACATGTTAAGATATGTGTGCCTAAAAACCCTCCTTTTTTTTTTTTTTTGGTGGGGTTTGCAAGGGATTTCTTTTAATTTAAGCTTTGATCGTTTGTTTCATCTGGTTCCTCTTAGTTCATGAGATTCATCCTAGTTCTTATATTGAAAAAGCTGATGAATGATGGTTTCCTATTTGACTCCTCTTTCAGACCTCTGTCATATTCCCCTCAGTTTTTCTCCAAGCCAGTTCGTATTCTATTTAACCATTCCCTATATAAAAACAGTCGTATACTTTTTGATCATATTTATTACCCTATTGTGTACCTTTTTCTAGTTCTTACATTTTCTTTTGAAATGGGAACTGGAACTTTATGCACCATTCACAATCAAGTGCCCAATCAAGTATATGTAATAGCAAAATGATGTTCCTTTCATAATTATTCTGAATATTATCTTTTTTTGGCTGCTAATTGTATTGAGGTCATGCTTTCACAGTGCTATCTATTGTAACACCATGGTCCAGTTCTTAGGTGGAAATGGTCAGCTCACAGCTGTTGTGTGAATTGTAGAGAATCACTTTATGTTCAGTACAATGAATTTCCTCTGCTATATCCTTTCCTAGTTGCTCAGTGTGGTGAGATTTTTTTGCAGTTCTTCATTATTTAGTTCTTTGTACCTTAATGTTACTGATAGACTTTGTCATGTGAATACTTGCATTTGTTTTTTGGATCACATGTAAATATGTTGAACAGAACAGCCACTGCATAGACCATGGAGACTCCTCCAGTGACCTCCCTTCATTGTCCATTTATTCTGTTTCATGGTTATTTATCCATGTGAGCACTTTTTTTTTCCTATCTCTACTTTTTTTCTTGAAAGCGTATGTTAAAGAGCTATTAAATGTCTGTTGAGTGTTGACCAACCTGATTTTCTGTTGTCCACATGCTTATTGACTCCTTCAGACAATCCTAAAAGATTTGTTTTGTGACTTGCACAAAAACTGTGATTCCTTCCCCCGATGTATCATATTTAGGTATGTGTCCACTGATGCAAACTTTTATACTTTTACCACATTCGTGTGGCACAAAATTAGGTTTACCTATCTTTATTATCCACAGAACCCTTTTAAAAAAATGTATATATTTTAGCCACTTGCATTGGTATCCAAACCCTGTGGAAGTTTAAAGCAAGAGGTTATAAATAAGTTCACTTATATTAGCAAGTGTTTCACACCTGAGTTCATTTGGAGTTTTTGGTGAATGTTTCTGGTCTTGCAGAGTCGTTAGCATTTGTCCAAGAGCTGCTTCTGAAGCAGGTTCTCTAACACATTGCCTGTGAAGAAGGTACTCAGCTTAGACTTTTAACTTCCTCTGCAGGGAACAGGGATGCAAGAAAATCTTTTACTTTTTGTTGTTGTTGTTGCCTTATCTTCTGAGTGGTTCTTCTGTGTATTGATCAGGTGTTCACTGTATGGTCCTCCCTCCTACCACAAACCTAGCTGTAGGTGTAAAAGTCACATAAAACTAGTTTTATCAAAATAGTTGTTGATGTCTGAATTAGCAGTGAACAAAACCAGTAATCACTGGATGTATTTCCAATAGACACATGCACAGAGGTGCGCGCACACACATACACAGACGCTGCTAACATGGCCAGCCACACTGATTAACACAGACAGAAATTAGTGCTGTTATTGGCACCCACATAAACACACATAGCATTACGCAAACATGGACAGCACATATGGCCCAAACCTGTTCCTGTTCTGCCGCTGATTGGAAATGAAGCCCGCTAATGAAATATATACACACAGAATAGAGTTCTGTCCAGTGGCAGGCCCTAGATGAACAGTTTCTCCGCTAGCTGCCCCCCGGATGCCAGTCTCTTAGAGCTGGTGGCATCTGGACCCATGAGCTCCCAAGGTTTGTGTTTCCACTCCAGTGGCTGGCACACAGATCTCTTATTCTACTTGTTGATTCATCCAGCTTAAATTTTTTTAGCATTCACGCACATATTCAAAGTAGGAAGCACACACACAAAGAGGGTAAAAATAGGATTGAATAAAAACATAGGATAGATCATGGTGATAAAGTGCAGGTTCAGTCAGAGAAGTGTACTGACCAGCCACCTGTCTACACTAAACCATTCCCTTTTTCCCTTTTTTTCCTCTGCTTTCCCACACATCTTCCTGCTTAATCCATCTTAATTCCTCCTTTTCCTCATCTTTGGTCCTTCCACTGACCATCTTGTAGTAAGTTTTGCACAATCCCAAAATTCTCTTCCCTTGGCATCACATAATAAATCTGATACCCCTTTAGGCAATGATGCTGTTTTAGTTCAGAGAGGGAGTTTCTTTTGCTGAGTGATGTTGGTAGGTTTCACACCAAGGACAATGGTTTAAAAAAAGTGCTTAAAAGACTGTTCTGCTAATGTGTACAAACATGTTAGAAATACATACCTGTCATAGACTGTCCTCTGCACTTGGATTTCTTTGAAACCTTCATAGCCTGCAATTAAGCATCACAAGGCGGTCTATGCATTTCAGAAAAAAAACTTACTAAGTTTTTTAATGAAATTAATATTAAGTAAGAATTATAGTTTAACACATTAATCAATTGGGCTAACATATGCTTAAAAATGAACATGTAAGCAGATACATTATGATAACAAAGGCATATTGAACACTGTGGTTCTTTAAAGTCTTCCTCAGGATGGTGAGTCTAGACCTCATGCTGATTTCCTTCTTCCACATAACTGTAAGATGAACAGCTTTTTATTTTAACAATAAAAGAATGCTTACTATCTCTTTCTTGACTTAGGTTTAAATTATTAATTTTCTAAAATAACTGTACTGTTACTGTTCAGAGATTAAATTGGCATGGGTAATAAGCGTTAATTGGGTTCTGCCTAATCTGACAGTCAAAGTAGTTGAAAGAGACTTGACAAATGATGCTTTTTAAAAGACGATATTGATTTATTTTCAGATTTATTCATTGCTTGAGAGCTTTAAAGGTGTATTTTTGTCATGCAAACCGGCATCCTGTTCTTTGAAAAGGAAAACAAAATAAAAAGCTATTACTACAATAGGGAAAATCTTACAAAATGTCTCAAATATAAAATGGAGTCTGTGCTGCGCTGTAACCGGTCTGAAGATGATGTCTTTGAATCAGTCGGCAAGCAAGAGCTTTTCTGCTAGTTAACAGTTACATTATTTCAGCACTGGACATTGTTTAGTGTCTGTAATCAGCCCTTTTAAAATACTTTCAGACTGAAGTCCAAGCATAATTAAAGCAAGTCAAAGATACCTAATAAGTTCAAAATAACTGAGTCACCTTTTTTACCATGTAATAAGAGAGAATTATTTTCACATTAAGTAAATCTTAAGAAGCAAGGCACTTGTTGTAGTTACATTTGTCACAAACATAATTTTCTGATTGTGAACCAAACCCTGAAATCATGAAAGAATAGGTAATTGGGATATATCTTTCTCTTAAAAGATACCAAGAGATCTAAATAATCAATTGTACAATTACTTTCATCATTCAGGAACGTCTGCCTGTAATGTTCCATGCATTTACAGCTTGTTATGTTTGGGTTTTTTTGCTCATCCAAAGAGGATAAAAGTCAGCCAAACACACTTAAAGCTTATTTTGTATTGCCAAATGGGTACTATTTGTTCATGGAATCCAAACACTAAAAATACCTTAACCTTATTGATATATTGGATGGGCAGTTATAGAAAGTATCTAGTGAAAGTAAATGCTTTTAAAATACAGTCATTAGCAAATATGTTATTTAAATGGCGACTGAAACCTTCTGTCCAAAGAAACTTGCACTTTTTCAGTTTATTGGTGAAAATAATCACAAAAATGTCTGAAGTTGTTTTTGTGTTTTATGTTTGCACAGCGTATAACTGTCACTTGTTGTGGTAAATGTAACAACAGTATGTGTAGCTGGTAGGTATTTGGTATTCAGTAAGTGCTGACCATTTTTTTTTAAAAAAAAAAAAGCAAGCAAACAAACAAACCACCACAAAAGCAAAACCAGACAGCTTCCTCTCTTTTGCCACAATTACTCATTAAGCGTGTGTGGTGATTAAGACTCTAGGTATTATATAATAAAAGATTAAAATTACTAAATTCCAAATTCATTAGATGATGTATTGAAAACAAATAATTCAAAATTTACAGTCACCATAGGAACTTTTTGTAGTTGCTATATTTAATTGATTTATATGTCAGTTGCAAAAAGCTAGGGTTTAGTCATAAAATCTGAACTGTGATTTTTAAAACCATTCTCTATAAATCAAACAACCCTGAATGCTTTATCTGACACTGGTTTTTTATTGTGTTGCGAATTGCTTCCAATTATGAAACAACTACTGATGAAGAAGACAGTTTGCTGTGTGCACTCTTTGATAGTGAAAGCCAGTAGTCTCGCAAAGTTTTCAGGTGGATCCTAAGTCAGTTACTCTTTACTCTGAAGAATCGTTTAAGAGATCCTGTGTTTGGCATTACCTTCAAATTTTGGAAACTTTTCTTATTCCCTGCTGACAAATTCCTTCTTCCGTGGGTGGTACTCTGTTACTTAAACAGAGCTTTTTGTGCTTCGGAGGCTTTCTCTTCCATCCCCTCTTGTTCTGCCATCATTTTTCTAGGAGTACCTCTTCCGAATTGCTCAAATCCTGAGGATTTTCCTTGTGCCCCTGTAATATTTTTCAAAAATGCTAATCCTTAATCTCAACCTTTGGAAAGAGATTAGAGAGAATTGCCTTATTTTGTAAGGCACAATTACTCTTCTGTTTTCTTGAAGAGCTGTATATTTGTTGGTAGTCGTTAATAACCAACCTGATTATGGATAGATCGTCTGTCACCAACATGAATTGATTTTATATAAAACATACAACGCAGTGAAGAGCAGTTCATATGGACAGTTCGCAAAACCAAACTGGAATTGCTAAATTGAAGAAAAATTTCCGAAGTTTGCACTTTGATTCTTAGATTCAGGTGTGAAAAAGTTGCTGACTTATAAAGTTCAAAAATTAGGCAAATTGCGCCATCCTCAAAAAGCAGCTGTGATAGTGTCAGTTGCATTATTAAGGGCTCCTTTCTGAAAGCCAGTGGGTGAACATAGACCTCTGTATTTGTGTGTGTCTTGTGCTGAGTCTAGATCCGGGTTTCTGTTCAGCTTTGCTACAATCTTTCTTGTTCTCTGCCTTGGACAAAGCTGCGTTGTAACTTGTACTGCTTGTTGAGGCTGAAATTACGACTATAATGGATGCTGCAAAACATCCGGAGTGAAGCATTGGCACTTTTTACCTCTTGACAAAACGTACACACAAAGGAAAGAAACGAGCACTACAGAGTTCTGCACTGTGTATGAGACTATGCCTGAAAGTTTAGCAGTCTTATATAAAATTATTTTAGGAGAAGAATGTATCTTTATGAAAGCTTTACCTTTACAAATGTGGAGCTTGCTAGCTAGAATTTATAGAAGTACTATGTACTATGCTACCACTTCTTCTGTTTTCTGAGTGTATTTCTTTTTGCAGCTTTAAATTGTTCTTGAAAAACAAAACAAAACAAACAAACAAAAAAAAACCTAACTTAAACAGGCTTTGAAAGGATAAAGTACTTGCTTCCTTGTTTAACTAATTAATCAAAACCACATGTGAACAGACTTTTTCTTTAAATGAATAAAGCAAAACTTGAAATGTAACAAAAGATAGAAATTTTAATGGGAAAAGAAACAGAATAAGGGAAATTACAGGAACAATTAATATTGAAAATGTAATATCTATGTAATACATATGAGTATATAGTCTTTGGTATATTTGCATTAATTGTATGTATTTACTTAATTTCTTTTATTTTAAGGCCATGGAACATCCTTTAATATAGATTGTAACGTCTGTTCATGTTTTGCTGGAAACTTGATATGTTCTACGCGTCAGTGTCTAACTGAGCATAGTTCAGAAGATGAACGTCGGAAGTTTACAGGTACCTTTCCAAACTATGGAAACTGTAAGCTTAATATTCTTAGAGCGAGGGTTAGCTTCTAAATTCTTTCTACAGTATTAATTGAAAATACCTGATAATTCATTATTAAGATGTTCTTTTAACTATTTATTTTTCTCATGTCCAGCCTGCACTTCAGAAAAAACACATACCTTAAAAAAAAAAAAAAAAATCAGTACTGAAAAAAAAAACCTCAGGTAATATGTAAAAATAGGTGGAGACAGGGTAATGCCACTGGGGACAAGAGATAAGGAGTTTGGGGGAAAAATGGAGAAAGCTGAGTAGAATTAGCAAGGAGGCAGGGCACAAACTTCCCTTCCTACTACTTGTAAGTGCATATGTGCTACAGCATTGCTAAATTGCAGGAGGGAGGAAGTGGCTGAAGATACAGCACATCTTTGCATTTGCTGGAAGGCAAAGGTGTCTTAGTGATGCCTGGTGTATCTTCTGTTACAGAAAATAAGTGTGCCACAAATTCCTGTTTTGTGTGTTGCTTTTACAGGTTTACCATGTAACTGTGTAGATCAGTTTGTACCAGTATGTGGTCAAAATGGACGCACGTATCCAAGTGCATGTATAGCTCGTTGTGTTGGGCTCCAGGACAATCAATTTGAATTTGGATCATGCATTTCCAAGGATCCTTGTAATCCTAACCCTTGTAATAAAAATCAGAGGTAAAGGCAGAATATGTTTTTAAGCTTTTCTTTGGCATCATCTACTCGTGAAGCAGATTTGCTTTTTCTTTGTGTGTGTTGTATATTGTAGTAACATTCTACTTTTGGGGTACTCCAATAAAAATAACTATTTGAAGTAGCTACTCTTTATTTATCATAGTAATGGACTGTAATAACTGCCAATTCTTGGTTCTGTTTATGTAGTGCTGTATTATTTAAATTCATTATGCAGATCTCAGTTTTAGCAATAAAAGAGAACTGATGTATACTTTCAAAAATGGGAGAATTAAATTTTGTTGAAATGGCAATAAGTGTCATTTTACTACTTTGTTTCACACCTTCTTCTAGTAGTTAAAAATAAAAACCCACACCTGAATTCAAGACTTGGATTCAGTCTTGCTTATTTAGTCAATAAGCTGTGCTTTTTATCTCTAAAATAGGAAAATATCAATCACTCTGGAAGACTTGAGTTTCTCTTAATTAGATTGATATCTTGTGAAAATCGTGTCTGTACAATCTCTGTTTTTTCAGTGTCAGAAAAAACAAAATCTGTATAGACAAACATATTAAAATAAAAATATGCTCTGTGTTAGTGTCAGAAGAAAAGAAAATCTGACCTTTCTTACAGAAATCAAAGTCTGTGGCTCATAATATTGGTCTCTGTCTTCAATTTTGTGTGTTGTGCAATACTGCAGTCTCCTTTGAATTTGTACATTTTTCTGTTTTGAAAGAAAGCCACCATAAGAAGTTGTGTAATACTGTGCTTTCATGAAAACTGATTATAGCAATTTTATTTTTTTCCTTTTTCTGCACTTTAAATGCCTTGATGCAGAAAACTGCAGAGAAAACACTGTAGTTTTGTAGCTGTAATAGTCATTATGGCATTGAAAACTGGAATTTCAAAGCTGCATTGTAGATACTTTCTACGTTTCATATTTTTAATTTGGAAAGTATAGAGAGGTTTTTCAGTTTTACAGAATAACCATTATGCTTAGAACCTCTACTTGTAGTTTCAGTAAGGGACTGTACACAATACATTTTTCTGGGTCAGTTTGATAATGTAGCGTAAACTAAACATCCTCATTTTAAAACATCTCTGAAGTGCTTAGACTCTAATTAAGATCTTACATTCCACTTGTAAAGTGTGTAAATCTCAGAATTTCTGAGTCTTCCCTCATATAAAAGTAAAACATGTAGTGCGTAGGACAGCAGCACTCAGAGAGAATAAGGATGTACTGTACATAATCCAGTGGTAGCATTGTTGTCATTTATAGAAGGAGGAGATTGTTAAAAAAGCCATTTGACCTTTCGTCAGTCTATTCATCGAACTCTATAGGCTGGCATTTCTCCAGGCATGTCTTGCAGGGCATATGGCAAATGTTTTGCAGATTAGACCATGGAAGGTACATATTTAATATAAAGGGGAAAGAATTTCTGCTGTTTACTGCTCTTTACTTCTTATCTGTGAAGGCTTGAGAGGGATGACGTGCCAAAAAAGGAAATTGTGTTAATACTAGATTTTTCCTTTTGCTTGCAGTCATCCCCAAGATTGGATGTGATATGATATACTGAACCTACAAAGCTAGAATCCAATTAGATATTTGTAATTGAAACCATATAATTTTTAAGTCTTGTTTTCACTATCTTCTCAAGGAAGGGTGAGGCTCGACCTCTGCAATATAATCTTTTTCTCTTGCAGTCCACTGTTTTCATGTTTTCTCAGTTTGCCTTAAAATAGGCATTTACAAAATGAAGCTTGGGAGTAGGTAGGAAGTTTATCCAAGCCTTTTCAAAAATGCATTGAAAAATACTTGGTAAAAGATTGATTTTAGTGGAAACTGTAGTTGTGTTCACATACATTGACCAAACGTGGTGTGAACCAGTTTCAGGTTTGTGATGACACCTGAAATTGGCTATTCAGAATGTTTTGTCACATGTATTTCCTGCAGCTCTGCTGAATTAGCTCTAAAGCAGTGGAAAAGATTTCACTGAAAATATTTTCCCTGAATATTTTGCAACTTAAAAAATCCTATGACATGATACGAAATTATTATTACTTTATGCAGGTGCATACCAAAGAAACGAGTTTGCTTGACTAGTTTTGGAAAGTTCGAATGTAGCCAGCATGAATGTGTGCCGAGGCAGTTAAATTGTGACCAGACACGGGATCCTGTTTGTGACACAGACAATGTGGAATACAGTAACTTGTGTACTTTGTACCAAAAAGGAAAAAGTTTAGCATACCGAGGACCATGCCAGGTAGGAAGTGGTTCTAGCAATAAATATCAAATCTTCTTTGTTCTTTAATGTTCAACTTTGCAATATTCTGGTTTTTATAGCTTACAAAATGTTTTAATTGAAAGTAATCCTTTAAAAATGTAATTTTCATTAGTATAAAAAATACTCTCACAAGATTATATTCAGAATTTTGTCACATGTTTTTCTGCTTTAGTTAACAGTTGTCTCAAAACCAATCAAAAGCTTTACTTATGCTTTCTTGGGGATAATACTCTGATATTTATATTAAGTCTTCCTGTATTTGTCACCATTAAAGCTTGCACTGAGGTATGTTTGTAGTAATTAGTGCAGTTCCTTGGTTAGTTAAATGCTAGTTTTCACCAGTTTGAACTTGTATTAAATAAAAATTAGTGCCCGGTCATAGAAAGTCTTTAGTGTTTTGTGTGATTGTGCCCCAGGTTTACCAAGTTCATTGTTCAGGATCTATTAACACCTAAGTTTTGTGGAGACTAGGCAGTCGGTAATATTTTCTTTAGTTAGTCTGGATTGGATTAGTCTTCATATTAATCCCTGAGAAGGATTAGGATTAGCTTTAGTTCTTCCATCCCACCGCTCTCTATAGCGTTGCTAGACAAGCTATTTCTATCGCTTTATAAGAAAAGTCAGGAGCTACTCTTTTCAAATTTGCTGGCTTTACCATTGATAGGCTGTTCCTCTCCAGGTTTTTCCTCAAATAATGAAGATTCATTATTGAATCTTGGTCTCAACTGATGGATATTCTTAAAAGTACAGAACTTTTTTCAGAGTTTTTCTGTATTATAAATACTATTGCTCTTTTAACCCACTTTTAGTTTCTGCCTTTCTATCTTTATACATTCTTTTTCTTGCCCTTTTTCAGCAACCTCGTTAAGTATAGATAATTCTTCTCATTGCACATCAGATATCTCATGAGATACTCAGAGAATGTTCAGCCCTTGAACAGTAAGAATCAAAGGAATATTGCATGGCTATTTTTTTTTCTCCAGCAGTTATATGTCTAGTTGTATCCATGTTCACGAACTCTTTGACACTGGTAGCTTTAACTTTCCACTCTTCCTTTTATAGGGAAGATGACTGCGAGATCTGAAACTATTTGGGGTGCTCACATTTACTTGTCCTCTATCTGTTTTGTGGTTAGCTTAGGTGTGTAACACAGAAACTGTAATTGTCTTGCTATTTTAGAGGAAATACAGTGATCATATAGCTATGGTGTCTTACTTGGAGTATTAGTTAGTTTAATAAAATATTTAGACCTTAGGAAGAAATTATGGAATGAGTTGTGTCATTTCACAAGACTTTGGACAAAAGTATTAGTCATACCTTGTCTGCAGAGAGTCAGCAATTCCATTTGCTTCTGTCCATGTTCAGAAGCTTAAGTTTATTGGCACGTGACCTCTTGAATGTGTTGGACTAATATACGTGCACAGGCAGGATAGGAAGAAACTATATTACAATTTTCTTTGATTTTCACGTGTTTGAATCAAATGACACGCTAGATATGTTTTTCTGAGAGAAAATGGACACAATAAATGTATTTTTCTAGATGTAAAGGTCTCAACAATAAATATATTTTTGACAGAGGTGTCTAGTAATGGATTTTATTCTTCTGAAATAAATGTATACATTTACCTTCTCAAATAATGTGTAAGAAATACATAGAATCATAGAATCATTTAGGTTGGAAAAGACCTTTAAGATCATCGAGTCCAACCGTAAACCTAACACTGCCAAGTCCACCACTAAACCATGTCCCTAAGTGCCACATATATACATCTTTTAAATACCTCCAGGGGTGGTGACTCAACATGTGCACACACACTAAATTTTAAGAACACAAAAACACACTGGCATGAATGAATAAATAAATTATTAATAAGCCATTAAAATATTAATTAATACTACAATTGCAAATATTTTATTAATAAATCATTTTAGTAATAAAATACTACTTTATTACATAATAAAATTATAATAATCATAATTAATTTAATAAGTAAGTTAATTTAAATGACATGGTCATTTTATTTAAGCATTAGCACAGAACAAAAATTGTTCTTTCCCAAAACATGTCTTATTGTACATTTCTCAGATTCCAACTTACATTTTTCTGTCACCTTCTTTAAGTATTACCCATTCATAAACCGGCAGGTTATTTATTCTAGATTTCCTACTTTTTTGAATGTTTGACAATATTAGCGGTGAATTCCCATTAACTATGGTTTTCCTAATGTTAAAACTACTCTGAAGTTTTGTCTGTAGCATGAATAAATTGATCTTTGAAACGTTTCTATGTGTTTCAGCCATTTTGTAAATCAGTGGAACCTGTATGTGGACATAACGGGGAAACCTACAGCAGCGTCTGTGCTGCCTATTCCGACCGTGTGGCTGTGGACTATTACGGACACTGTCAGGCTGTAGGTGTTCTCTCAGACTACGGTTTTCACACAGAGTGTGCCTTTGTTAAATGTCCCCAGCTTTCTGCTACTGGCTGCAAACCGGTTATTGCACCAGGTATGTTAATTCATTGTTGAAGTTTACTGCAGATAGGCGAGAGTCTCCAGGCTATGTGTATAAATAGGTGTATATTTGGAACAAAACTTATGCTTTAAAATACTGTCTTCCATAATGTCTTTGAGACATCTAAGAGAAAGGATGAAGTAGAGATCTTTACCAAGGGCTAGAACAAGCCAGTACTGGCACTCAGCAGAGTAATTCTGAAGTGGAAGGGCCTTGGCTTTAGGAGTCACGCTCCTTCAGACTTTAGAAACTTGCAGCTGTCCCCATAGGACTGGGTTTGGGGGAAACGAATGAGGTCTGTGGTGTCTAGGGTAGAATGTCACTGGGAGTCAGACGAGTCATTTTTCGGAAGTGGTAGCACAGATACCACACTGGAATGCCAAACTATTGTCGAAGTACATTTCCCAGAAGAACAAAGATTATATTTAATTAGAAGACAGAGTAAGATACCATATGTATTTACAGTACTGAAGACAGTAGGAATAGTTTTGCAGTTGTGCTGTTTTGAACTGGTTTTTTATTGTTTTCACAAATACTTCCTTTATGAAACAGTCAGTAACTAATCACAGGTAATACATGTAGCAAGGAAAGCTCAGTTTCTAAAAAGAAACAGTTTTATGCATTTTTCTCATTCACTGGTTTGGAAAAGGGTCTTTGTGCTTTGGTATTACATTTAATATTGTAAAAGTCACTCTGTGAATGTGATTTATATATAATAAGTTGGGGGGGGTGAATTAAATATACAATCATGGGTAGAAAGTTGAAATATTAGCCCTTTGGTTTCTGAAATACTGAGGAAAAACAATAGGAGAAATATGACATGCTTCTTGTTAAACATGAATCTGTCAGACAAGTCCTTTTTTCCCCCCTTATTACATAAAGATTCTAAGCTCCAAGATGGTGTAACTGCATAAATTAATGTTTGCAGTGTGCATAATTGCTTCTGTCATGTCCTAGCTATTTCAGCTCTATTTCAGAAATTCATCATTTCTGTAGTTGCATATGCATGCATCCATACAAAACCTTGGCTTGTAGTACACAAAGTGCCTGTGGTTTTAGCTTACAATGATGTATCATCCTGAAACAAATGAAAATTCATCTTGTTGCTTCATGTTGATAGTAGTAAATGTGTGTTGAAAGGTGACTGCTTTTGCATTATAAATGTTTTCAACATTAAAAAAAATCTTAGAAGTTGTGCAATTCTGCTATCAAATTGAAAGATTTACTTTGCTTTGGTAGTTTTGCTATTTTCATTCTCAGTTAACATTCAACTTTTGACCTCTGCTTACTTGAAAGTGAAAAGACTATTTGCTTTTATTTGTGAGATTTTTATTTATTCTGAGATTATTTTTATTCATAGGAGCCTGCTGTCCACTATGTGCTGGAATGCTGAGAATCTTATATGACAAAGACAAGCTGGATACTTTTGCGAGGGTAAACAGTTTAATCATGCCTTATGTTAAACGGTACATGGAAAAGTCAAGTTACTGTATACTCTCTCCTGAAAAGTTAACACATTATAAAGCCACTTATTTTTCAGTATATAGTGTGTGATTTGATTTTTTTCTTTATACTGTTTATACTTTCCTTTATTTCTTAATATCAGGTATAGAAATTGAATTACAATGCAAAGCAAAAGAGAATTAGAGTAGGCACAAACAAGCACATTTGGATTTGCAGTTTAAATGACTTGTAATAATAAAGACAAATGATACGGGAACTGCATCTGTCTCAAGGTAGTAATACAGTGCATATTTGTTATTTATGGCCTTTTTGTAGGATTATTCTGTTACCTCACTATTTCCTAATGTAGGTAACTTAGTTCTGACATTGTCTTATGTTTAAATTGGATTGGTTTACACTCTGGGTTATCTAGATAGTTGTCACTGATTTTGTTGCTCATCAGCTAAAATGTTGGGTTTTAATTTAACATCTCTGTAAGTTAGACACCACCATCCTTCATTGCTGCTCTTTGAAAACCTCCCGTGTAAGATGGATCTTCTGATGTTGATTGTCTATCACTGAACACGACATACTAGGCCCAGACTCCCCATGTGGTGTATAAAAGGATTGCACTTTATTGACCCCTGCTTTTATGCTTCTGTATATGGAACAGAGCAGAACGCTTGATTTTTGGCATGACATCACAACAAAATAGAGTAATATGACTATCATGCCTAGTGAAGCAAAACAATTCATATTTGCATCTGCACGATTTTTTTTTTTTAAATATGAAGAAGAAAGATAATTTCCCCAAAACAGTATAAAATTACATTAACCTATTTTTATGTTTAGAAGTAGAGAGAATTAGCTATTGTTGTAAAAACACAGAAAAATTTAGCTTGAACAGGACCCTTGGAGGGGTCTAGTCCAACCCCCTGCTCAAAGCAAGGTTAACTCTGGTTAGAGCAGCTTGACCAGCTGAGTTTTTAAAACCTCCAGGCGCGGAGATTCCACAAGCTGAACGCTGCTGGACTCTCTCCAGTTCGTCAGTGTGGCCTGGGGAGGCAGGGGGGGGAGTGTAAATAAAGGGGGACGATGATTTCTGCTGCCTCTGTTCTTGCTGTTGCAGCCCAGTGCGTGGTTGGCCTTCATCTCAAGGGTGTGCTGCTGCTGAATGTTCTACTGATTTCCTCTCATGAGATTTTGTGTTTGTGTGCGCCGTGTGTGTGTGTGTGTGCGTTGACCACTTTTGCTGAGTAACAGTGCCTGTTAGGTCATGACTGCATCCTGGAATGTCTTCCAGTTGTCATCTCTAATGGTACCAGGGACACGGTGACCACTGCAGCTTCTCAGCTCATACATTACAACATGTGGCTGTGAAGAAGAATTTTTAGTTTTAGTTAGAAGAAAGCTTTCTAGTTAAAGAAATTTATTGGACTTATTGAACTAGTTATTCAAGTAGTTGGTGATAACTACTCTCCTCTCACCTACTAAGTACCCTAATACCTGGATTAGGGTGCTTGGTAGTTGCTTTTTTTCTTCTTTTTTCCCCTCTCATTTTTTTCTTCCCTTTGTCATCACAGCCCTGCTGACTTTCTCTTGTCTTGCTCACCTAACGCCACAATACAGTCTTCAACTTTTCAGAACTCATATATATAAATACATATGTATCTTTACATTTAAAATATGTGATCTCTCAAACATTCAAGTCAGCATTCTCTTAGCACATACTAGAAATTACAGAAGTTAGACTGAAGCTCTCTCCTTTGGAAACTTCAATCAGGGATCATCCAATAAGCCCCCAGAGATGATCTCTAACTGGTCACAGCCACCTGGAGACCGTGCATGGTGTGACACTACCCTGAGCATAGAGACTTAGAAGCTCTGTGCCTTTGTTGCTCCAGTGTGAGTCGGAGGCCAGCTAGTATCTCCTAATAATACAATAGAAAATGCCCGACTGTGTATTTGAGTAGATCTGATACTTTTGTCATCTACATGAAATTAATGTTAATAACATAGATCTCCTCTGATTCCATCAATAAAACTGTAGGATTAGTGTGCAGCTCTTGCTTTTGACAGTGTACATATACATATAGTGTATACATCCATTGTACTGGAGATGGTTAAGTGTCAGATGGAATCATTGCTAGAAATGCTAGCACACACTTTAACCAACCCAAGAGGGCAAGGAGTAGTAATGTATGCCTATTTTAGTTCAGACAGGTGCTTCATATAAGAAAAAAATGCTTCAATTACTGAAGAGTTCTATAAATCTGACCTTTTTTTTTTTCCCCTCCCTCCACCCCTCTGGCTTTTTTTGTAAAGATAGCAGGAAACAAAAGTCAGCATCTATGCAGAGCAAAGAAACATTAGAGATCTGCTAAGATTCTAATCTAATCTACTAGATTTCTAATCTAAGACATTAAAATCCAAGTTTGACTGTTGGTCATCCTTAAAAGTATCCATGTGCTTCTGTTTTAAGACTGTTTGAACAAAGTTTGCTGATCAGTCAGCATGTCAGACTACATTTTAATGGGGCTATGACAAGGAAATCCCTCAAAGATCTGGTAAAAGAAGTGGTGTGTGATACCTTGAAAATTTGATTCTATGTAGTCTACTTGGATTTCCCAGATTTCCATTTGTTAAGGTCCTGTACCAGTGGTCTTAAAAGAAATGAAGCTACAGTAGGATAAGAAGGATGGATCTCTTGAAGCTAAAGCTAGAAAACAGAACACAACAGAATGACAGAAGTCACAAGTCAAGTATTTGTGTTGGTGTCTATACTGTTCAACACATCCAGAAGTGACCTTGGAAAAAAGGTGAAAAACCTTTAAGTGGCAGTCCTTAAATAGACTGACCACCTACAATCAAATTATTGTTTGTCAGATACAGACAGCAGAACAGAATAAGAATTTTAAGAGAAAAATATATTTACCTGGTAGTTATGTAGTGATCTTGAAATGTCACATGTTCCCATATATACAGACATATATCTGTCTTCACAAAGCCATAGCTCTTCATTTCTGTTGGCTCTTGGAACAGGTTCTCTGATGGTAAAGGAGTGCCAGCTGGTAGGGCTGCTCTGCCTCTTTTTTCCTAGCATGGGAGTACAAGCCACTGTAACAGATAACCATTTACATTATTTTGAGGTACATGATACATATACACACTAACCATGAAGGTGGAGAACAAGACATATCAAAACCACGGTTAATTTAGGACGTAAAACATTTTTTCCCCTTCTTCCTTTCACTGTTTTAAGGGTTTTTTGGGGGGGGTTGGTTTTGGGTTTTTTTTGCTAGAGATTAGAACTGAGTAGTCTAATGGCTGAAACATTAAATGGCATGACATAAAATTATTAAAACTGAAGAGGAGAAATATAATTTTGCATAATGTTACATCATCCATGAAGTTCTTTGTTTTCTTCCAGGTAACAAATAAAAAGCCTATAACAGTACTTGACATACTTGAAAAAATCCGCCTGCATGTCTCAGTGCCACAGTGTGATGTATTTGGATACTTAAGCATAGAATCTGAAATTGTGATTCTCATCATTCCTGTGGATCAGAACCCCAAACCATTGCAGGTAGACTATGTTATTATTTTGTTTACCCAGCATGGATTTACTTCATTTTTATATGTGTACACTTTACTATTTTCAATATAGCACTTTTAAAATTGTGCATTTTCCTGTGTACTGAGTACATGGGGATTCCTCTAGTGACTCAAATCTGAATAACTAGTATTATGGATGGTAAAATGTGTCTTGAGAATCCTGCTTTTCTGATAAGAGGCTTTTGAGTGTGGGTAGAGGGGGGAGGTGAAGGAAGGCCAAGGATAGAGTAGTATGATTTTTGTTTTAAAATTAGTAAGCTCTCAACTTCCTATGGCTAAAATAACATAAAATATAAACTGATGAAAATAAATAATTACTGAATGACCTATTAAATTAATATTAATTGTATATTAAATGCATACCTGCATATGAAATGATACTCCTTTGTGTCCAGTGTAATGGTTAAAAGTAGCTTGAAGTATATGTGATATCAGGCTGAAGCACATAATATATATTGATATCATATTAATACATAGTGCCCATCTTCATGTTAAGCAGTAGTTCATACCAAAGAGGATCTGTTGATACTATTCTGAGATCATTCTGGTTTTGATACTCCTTTCCACCTTATGGTAAAAAGTGTTGGGAGATCCCAAAATGCTATTACGACCTTAAAAAGGAAATAACATTCCAATAAGCTGCCCAGCTTGCTGTGTCATAGGTAGTTCATGCTAGCAAACAACTACCTAATGCTCACAGTACTAAACTCTAGAGGTAAAGCAACAAATGCAGCTGAAAAGTTCTTACAGTATTTTCTTAGGAGCAGTTTAGAGCAATAGAAGCAAGGCTTTGGCTATGTATTGCATTATTATTGTCTTGGAGCTGTTGCTTCATTTTTACTTTCTGCTTGTTAACCTGTGCAAGACCAGTGAGGATCTCTTCTTCCTATTAAAAGGAACATAATTTCTTGCCATTTTATAGTTGTTTCTAATGGTCTTGCCTGGCCCTGCTGACAGCACTTTATAATGAAGTCCCTTTGGAGATTAGGGGCTCTGACTGGTTCATTCTGCTACCTGAGTGTGTACTAGTGTAAAATGAAGGATTTAGCTTTGAAAAGGAAGGAGAGAGAAAACCTGCTCACAATCTCTCTCTTATCTTTTGTAATACAAACAGAACTCAGGCAGGTTCATTTCTTTGTTGTTAATTTTATATTGATGGCTGCTTCCCATTTCCATTCTATTTCTACAGTCTAATTTTGCATGCTCAGTATTGCTTCTGGGATGAGCTAAAGTTACAGTACAGTGTGAGGAGACAGAATCACTGCCATAAACTTTACAAGCTGCAGTATCTAATAGGGTAGTTGTTTCTCAGGCAGGTATATTTTGTGTATTTTGCTTGCCCATGCTACTGGAGCAACCCTGTTACGTCCAACTCAGCTCCACCTTATGTCTCCTCCTTTTAGAAATAGCCCAAAATGTTACCAGGACTTAGGAACAAGGTCTTGAGCCTTGCCAATTTGGTCAGTTTTCACTCCATCTGCAGCAGGTGCTGTCAGACTCCTGGGGAGAGGAGGACTTTCTGAAATCAGAGAGGCCACCTGAAACCAGGGAGGAGCTGCTTGTCTCACCTGTTGCTGAGCTAGAAGTTCCTCAACTTTCAAAGCTGTTCCAGATATTGAGTTTGTTAAGTTAAAACTTCACCAGAGGCAGCTTCCAAAGCTGTTGAAGAGACTTAGTACTAAATTGATTCCTGGGTTGCAGTAAACGGTAAGGTGGAAAAAATGGATTTTCTAACATTCATAATTATCAGTCAGTGGGGGAATGGAAACCTGGATTTTCTCAGGTTTTCCTGTTACTTCCATTCTTCTCTTCCCTTCCCATAAAAGAAATCAGTTTTTCCCTTATTTGGAAGAAAAAGCCCATTAAGTAGAAAATCTGATTTTTCCACTGTTGCAGACTTCAAGGCAATATCTTGGTCAATCAGGAAGTCAGTCCTCCTGTTTTAGAGGTACTTACTTTAGTTATAATTTACTGTGAGCTTTTTGGCATCAATATTCAAAACACATCACCCATGGTAACTTGTATGTAGCTTCCTTCCTCCCCTTTTGCTACGACTCAGGGCTTCCACAGTAGTTTTCATAGTACCAAAGTCTATGACAAGAGCTCCAATATGTTTTCTAAGAAATACTCCCAAAAATTACATAAATCTTATGTGCTGGTGGGAATAACTCAGATTTTCTTTTCTGAATTTTGCTATCTAGCAACGTTTTTCCATTGGCATCTTACATGGCAAGAAGAGAAATAATAACTTTTTTTTTTCTCAGATTGAAGCCTGCAATAAAGAAGCAGAAAAGATAGAGTCACTGATAAATTCAGACAGTCCAACATTAGCATCACACGTACCGCTGTCAGCTCTAATTGCATCTCAAGTACAAGTTTCATTTAGCATTTCTTCTCCTTCCGTTAAAGTGGTGCCTGTTCTGCACTCCCTGTTCATAAGCCTTTTATTCACATTGTCAGGATTAATATATTATATATAACTGCTTAGAAAATATGCATGAGTATTGTGGCGTTTTATATTGTGAAGGACATTCAGAATTGTTGATCATTGAACCAGAAAACAAAAATTGTAGAAGATTTGATATTTTTCAAGGAAGAACTAAAAGTGTTTGGAATAATGTGAAAAGATGATTCCTTTATTCATTACTAGTCAGATGACTGTTTCAGCACAATTAGATTGTTTTCCATTGATATTGGAGACATAAAAATATTCTGGAAGGTTCTGACATTATGGATTTATGATTTTTGCGAGAAGTGATCTTACAGGGTTTTTTTCAGCAATGAACAAAATAGTGTTTTGAGTTTATTGAAGAATGTTAATTTTATATTATTCAGATGCGTATCAGTGACAACGAAAAGCATGCACCTATTTTAAACACCATTTTTGGAAGAAACAAATTGCTGCTACTTAATTACCTTACCAAAAATTTAAGAGTTTATTCTCATGTAAATATGCTTTCATATTTTATTATGAAGAAAACTAACTAGCCCTGGGCCTATTTTAGTAGACGTCTTTACTTGGACTAGTGAAGATTTGCAGGACATTGGGCTCAATGCTTGTAAAATGACAATCAAGCTCTGTACTAGTACCTGACTTCAATGAAGAAATACCTTTTTTTTTATAGTTTTGTACATTTCAGAATCTCATATTGGATGCAAAATTATAAAGAATCTCAGTATCTATATTTAAGTGCCATTTAAAATATTGCAGTATTTGCATGTTATCTAATGAAATTTATACTTTAAATGTTTATACAAACAGTGTGTTTTATTACTTATTGTATTTTATGCACCTGACCTTAGTCTACATGAAGTATTTTATATCAGTATTATGATAGCCAACTTTTGAAGTATATACAGAAAAACTTATTTTTGCCAAAATGCTGAACTTTGAAAGAAAGCACTGAAAACTTTTTGAACATGTATGTTGTTGTAGCATGTTTGTAGCAATTATTTTCTGCTAAATCTTTTAAATGCAAAAGTATTAAAGCTTTTTATTTTAATAAAACACTTTGTCGTATGTCCTTGTATACAAATGAGTGACCAGCACTTTTATATTTTAAGTGCATTTGTACTCTATATATAGTTTCTGAGTACTTTTGGTAGAGTACAAATGCAGATTATCTTTGGAAGTGTTCTTGCCAGATAACTGCAGGAAGACTCATGCACATAGTCATCAAAGTCTGGATACAAAAAACTAGTTGAATATGTTGATAATCCATCTGGTTCGGAAATTTCTTCTGTGGATTCTTTAGAAACTTGGACACGAGGATAATGAATGTATTTGAAAAGCTTTTTGAACTGAAATGGCTCAGATGATCTCCCCAGAAGCTGCAAGCAATTCAGATGGTTTATTGAATTCCTTATTTTTTCCAAATCATTAGCAAGTATCTCTTCAACATGTAGCCTGTTAGCTTGCTTAGCATTTAGCTGAAGTAATCCGATGCCTACTAAAATCAAAGGAATTATAAATGTCTTAAGAAAATACGTATACATATATATATATATGTGCCACACTGGAAAAATAAGTTAAGAGCTTAAAAACATACCTTTTGTGGAACAGAATATGTAGTGATATTTATTTTTTTTACAGCTGTGAAGATTTCTTCAATGAAAGATAATACCAAAAAAGTTGCCTCAATTTGTATGATGAATCTGGAAAAAGCAGAACTTAAGCCCAGAGATTTTTGAATTCACATGTGAGTGTCCAGTACTTGCTAGAAAAGTCGGAAGATTTGTAGTGGTTATGTTAAATATGTGCAGAACCAATGCGATTTCGTATAATCCTAAATTCTTGAGTATAAGTCCAGCATCCAAAGCGTACAGGGCTTAGGTTCTTTTTGCTGGATGAAAAAAAGTACTTAAGTATTTTCTTGGTTTTCTCAAGACCTTGGACTACCTCAAAGGAATGAAGAAACTATTTACTTCCAGTTTTGAATTCAAACGAACTAGGAGAAAAGATGGAAGAAACCAAGCCCAGTTTTACTTGCAAGTTATGAAATTTGAACGTAATGGGGACAAATTTGATACAGGTTTCAGATGAGTTTTCCATATAAGTGCTAATGATGTTCTGTCACTATCCGTGTGGAAATCTGTGTTCGCTTAGGAAGGAACGGAGACAGCACAAGGGCACTTCAAAGCAGCACAAGCCTGTTTGTTGCTTTTATAACAGGACTCAACTGAAACATTTACAAAACATTATGAACAGAGTTATGTCAACAATTGGCTCTGGAGAGATGCTTCAGTTCTGCTTCAGTTTGTTTAGTTTGGCTCTTCTCAACAGGAAGGCAGCAAAGCGGAGATGCCAGCAGTGCTTGTTTGTACACCCCTAGGAGTGGATCAACCACAGGGGCAAATATCAGAGCAAATAAGGGATTTCTGGGTTACGCTTCCAAGGAACTGGGATCTCTGAATTTCAGAGAAGGTAATAGTTCTGTGAGAGGCCACTGTGAGAGGGCATGAAATCGGCACTTAGAACCGCAGTGTCACTTCATAGCCCCGCTCTTCTTTCATGCTCTAGTTTTATGCCACTTTAACCAGTGTCGTAACTTGGAGATTTGCATGGATGTATCTTGATTGAAAGGTAAAGTGTTATTTATACATCCTTACTGAGTTTTATGACATTTTTCCAGGTCTTCCTTTCACAAAGTATATTTCAAAACTTTTCAACACCACCACTATTTCTAGGAAGCCCTGGGAGCATTTACATAAGCAAATACAAATACGTGAGTGCTTTGTAAGATTGTGGCCTAGATGTTTCATATTTGAAGTCTGGACTGTAAGTTGACCCTCTAGGCAAATGAATCCCAAAGTGAAAAATGTAGCATTGGGGAAAAAAGATTTATCTGCCACAGTTGTGCTAGACTTGACTGCAACTTCCTGCATATTCTTTGAACTGGTGCTTTTATACAATGAGACTGGTAGCTCCAGCTGTTCCATGTGAAGTACAAACAAAGGTAACAAACTGCAGGTAACAACTTTATCTCCTCGCAGTGGCTGCACCTACCACTTTTAAGGCATTGTGCCTTCCATGTAAATGGTTGCGCACTGCTTGTTTTGTGCTCTTTCTCCCACTCCTCTCTGGGCTTTTGCAGAGCCCATTGCATACACCAAAGAGACTCTGAGCTTAAAAACAAACAAAAGTCTCTTTGAGAAAAATGTTTCCAAGCCCTAGCACATTGTTTTTTCTCAAGTTATCACACTACAGTAAAAAGGATACACTTTTAGCATTAAGTAGTACGTTAACTTTTGCTAATTAATACAATGAAGCTGAAGGTTTCAGTTATTATATTTGAAGCTGATCAATTCTATACAAATTCAATGCTATCAATATTTGCATTATTTGAGGCTGATTGTGTATGACCAGTATGGTATTTAAAGCAAAGGTGATTACTTTGAAAATTGAGGAAACATCAATTGTCCAAAACCTTTCTTCGTTTTAATAGCAGTACATACACTGCTAAATGGAAAAAAGTATGCACATTTCATCTCAATATAAGAAAGAAATTTTTTACAGTGAGAACAATCAATCACTGGACCAACCTCCCCAGGGATGTGGTGGAGTCTCCACAAATGGAGGTTTTCAAGATGCAACTGGACATGGTGCTAGATGAAGCACCGAAAGGTTGACCAGATGATCTTCTGAGGTCCCTTCCAACCTGGGCTGTTCTATGGTTCTATGATTAAAGAAATACTTTCAGTTGCAATACATGGAAATTTTTGGCTTATTAAATCATTTTCAGATCCTATCTTACGAACACTGTTAGGATTCATTTATCGTTTTCAAAATGACATAAAATAACTACTATTTCCCACTTTAGACAGCCTTTTTCACAATATATACATTAAAGCCTTTAGAATATATTTAAATATTTTACACTGATACAAGTTTTATTTACATTATGAACTATAAAATAGACTTCTGCAAGCATAACATAGCAACAGCTTTTATGATCAGTAAGTTCTTTATCTTCTACTTGGACTCTCCAGTGCTATTGGGGGGGAGGAAAAAAATCAAACCTTTACATTAGTCCACTATTCTCAAACTACTGGCTACTGTTATTTAGAAATAGATCCATGTATTTTAAGTACATCTAGTTTTAGCACATCACTGCTACAAAATCCTGTGCACTGACACCCTCCCTTCTGCATTCTTCAGCATGAACAAAGTTATGGTCAAAAACATATTCATTCTAGACATTTGAAGGAGACTCACGCAAAGGGCAACAGTAAAATGTTTAAAAATTAAAGCTCTTGTCAAAGGGTGGGTTTTTTCCTTGCAGTTCCTAGGACATAAAGGAGAATAAAAAATAAAGGATAGCCTTTCCTGAGGATGTAAGAACTCATGGAATAATGCAGTAACCTTATCATCAGTTACATAAAGAAAGGTTGTTAACCTTAAATTTTTCATTAGATGATCAGAACCGTGCTCTTCAACATACATATGCAGCTGACACCAAGTTGGGCGGGAGTGTTGAGCTGCTCGAGGGTAGGAAGGCTCTGCAGAGGGACCTGGACAGGCTGGATCGATGGGCCGAGGCCAACTGTATGAGGTTCAACAAGGCCAAGTGCCGGGTCCTGCACTTCGGCCACAGCAACCCCATGCAGCGCTACAGGCTTGGGGAAGAGTGGCTGGAAAGCTGCCCAGAGGAAAAGGACCTGGGGGTGCTGGTTGACAGCCGGCTGAACATGAGCCGGCAGTGTGCCCAGGTGGCCAAGAAGGCCAACAACGTCCTGGCCTGGATCAGAAATAGTGTGGCCAGCAGGAGTAGGGAGGTGATCGTGCCCCTGTACTCGGCACTGGTGAGGCCGCACCTCGAATACTGTGTTCAGTTTTGGGCCCCTCACTACAAGAAGGACATGGAGGTGCTGGAGTGTGTCCAGAGAAGGGCAACGAAGCTGGTGAAGGGTCCAGAGAACAAGTCTTATGAGGAGCGGCTGAGGGAACTGGGACTGTTTAGCCTGGAGAAGAGGAGGCTGAGGAGAGACCTCATCGCTCTCTACAACTACTTGAAAGGAGGTTGTGGTGAGGTGGGCGTTGGTCTCTTCTGCCAAGTAACTAGCGATAGGACAAGAGGAAATGGCCTCAAGTTGTGCCAGGGGAGGTTTAGATTGAATATTAGGAAGAATGTCTTCACTGAAAGGGTTATCGAGCATTGGAACAGGCTGCCCAGGGAAGTGGTTGAGTCCCCACCCCCGGAGGTATTTATTTAGATGAGGCGCTTAGGAACATGGTTTAGT